TTGTTAACCAATGTCATAAAACAATATGTGTACTACTGTTTCATGAGAAACTATTTGTTCTGTAAACCTTCACCTGAAGTACAATAAAAAAAAAAGGAAAAAAAAAAAAATATACAATCTCATTCATTGTACAATTCTATACATTTGTTTAGACCTCAATTTTAGCAGATTTTGAGATATATGCAACCACAAAACAAGCAATAAAAAAGCAGCTGTGATGATCTGGCGTGGTTGACAGCCTAAACTTCTTATATAGAAAAAAAATAGGTATTTTAATTATTTTAATTAAGCCTTTAGCGTGTTATTGGTATAAACACTCTGAAGTCTCTCTGTGTCACTCATCTCCTAGTAGCCTGTGTATTTCAAGAGAAGCTTTTGGGATAATATGAAAAAGTAGACAGTATATGTGCCTAAAATTTTCAAATAAAAAATTTTTCTATTTTCTCTCTCTGATTTAATCTCAATCCAAACAAACTATCAAATGACTCTTGATGTTGAGAAGGTTGAAAGCTGGTCACTAATTTAGGAGTTAAAAACAAAACAAAAACAAAAAGCACTGAATAAATAAAAGGCTTGAAAATCTAATATTAGAATACTGCCTCTGATTAACCGCGTTATTAAAGTACTATCTTGACAGAGTTTTTAGTTTGTCTATTATTTGATCCCAGTGTAGTCCTTTAGAGTCAACTTTACATGGACTTTCACAAATTTTTTTTTGTAACATGGTTGAAAAATATTTTATATAAGAAAGAAGTGTTGACTAGAAATATATGCACACCTTTTTACTTCATTTTTTTTTTAATGTGGCATGGTTAAAACACATTTGCTTAGAATACCTTGGTATACACAGCTAGGTAAATTTGGTAAATCTTGAGATAAAATATTTTGTTTCTTCAACCCTGTATTTAAGACCTCCACCATGCTTGTTTTATTGGTAAAGTCACCTGCTCTTGCTGGATAGCATGTCTTCCTTCTCTTCTGTGACACAGCATAGCCATATAAAATCACTGTTTGGAAAATCAGGATGGCTTTGTAAAGTCAGTGCTGGCTTATTTTAAAGACATTTTCACATATTTTTACATTGCACTCACTTCTTTCACCAGGTTTACTAGGCCACTAATTTTTTTTTTTTAAAACAGTACTGTAAATTATAGGAATTGTCATAATTTATGTCTGCACTTTTCCCCTGTGCAGATATATGCATGGATAAACTGTGTGAGGGTGAACTTAAAGGCCGAGAACCTTAAACTTGGAAACAGACACAGCCTTCTGCAATGACTGTAGGTGTCCACTTTCTGACCACATCTAGCGCCTTTGCACAACATCTCTGAAGCTGAGCCTCAACTGTTATCCAGAGGCTGAAATCATTTGGGATTTTTACTTGTCATGTTTTCCCTGGACTAACAAACAGCTGCCTAGATTCTGAAAGTCACATACCATTTGCATAATTTCTTCCTTTCCCACCTCCTTTTCAAGTTTGTTCAAAAACTGCCATGAATCCACTCCTGTCATGTCTCTTCTGGGCAGGAATTTCTTTTGCAGTTAAGGATAAGTCTCAGGTTCTTTTGTATTTTGTGTTTCTGTGGTTTGAGGAAAAGTGATATTCCTAAGACAGTAATTTCCATTACCATTTGGAAATATCAGTCTCCTCAATTATTAATGCAAATAAAGCACTTTGTTGTCCAGCAACATGAAACCACACGTTTGAAGATAAGTTGTAATTAAATAAGCATAGATCATTCACTTTATCAGCTTTATGGACTCTAACAGCATGAAGCACTTCAAATGTATGGCATGTGCCTCACCGAGGCACACTCAGTTTTGGCAGGTTTTTATTCATTCATACACTGAACAAATATTTACTGAATACTTTCTATATTCCAGTTGCTGTATTAGATACGAGAAGAAATAACCCAATCACACTCACATTACCAAAACCACGCCACACCAAACTCAATGAGTGCGTTCATCTGATTATAACCTAGGGTCAGAGGACCACCTGAGAGGTAAAGCCACAAATTATAAGGTCAGTAAGGTGCATTTTTTTCTGAAATGGATATAACTTACATACTAAATTCTGTTATCTGGTAAATAATGATAAAGTGAAATTTTCAGGTAGTTTTGTCTCATACCCCATAAGGGTGATCTATGGGATAACCCAATTCTATGGGATAGAGAGGTTTTACAATGCGATTTTAGTACAGGTTATTTATCATCTTTTCTAAAACCCAGATATGTGGAATCACCATGAATTACATAAGCACTCTCAGCAGGCTTTGCCTTCTCATTCAATTTGACATGTCATTTACATTGATTATTTCCAATTGGCCTAGGCTGGTGTATACTTTAATATAATAGATACATTGCAGCTGTTAAAATTAGTTCTTCCGTAAATACCCACTAAACACAAGGAAAAATTGCAGTTGCTATAATGAAGTATAAATTGTAACTTAAAAAAAAAGGAAAGCAATAAAATAAATTGCAAATTAAAATCTTCTTAAGAAAATATTAGTGGATTTTACAAAATGAGTGTACCAAAGGATATGAAGAGCGTTTTGTATAGGTCTAACTTGAAGGAACTTTGTTTTTGTTAAGGAGACTTTTTTTTTTTAAGTGCAACTTCCAAAACTTAACGTAGTGATCTACTTGTGCTACAAAGATGTCACACTTAGCTATCAAGGTTTATAAAATAGTGGACTATAGAAAAAACATTAATAACAAATATTTAGTTAGGGTTACATAGAAGAAGGACTGTGAGAGGGTCAATATTATTAATTTTCTTGTCCTATAAACAGGCTAACCTTCCAAAATGTTTATTGGTGTTAGAATCATAGTTGGTCTTTAAAGAGTCAAGACTGGGGAATATTTTAGGGGGAAAAGTCATGAGACATAATAAGCCAAAGTGTCTGTCTAGTGTTCAAATCATTCCTTAAAGAGCATTCAGAAAAATCACTTCACGACTCTCGTAGATCAGCTTCACAAATCTGCTCCGGGCTTGAAGAAATACAAAATATATTCAAAAGGAAGAGCATTTAGCAATGTGTATAGTCAGAAATCTCCCCATAGTTGAAACAAAGTGGAATTGGCTCATATTTAGATAATGAGTAAAACTAATTACTAATTCAACCAAAATTTAAATTTTGTAAGTTTAGGAGCTAATTTTCTATATTTAGCAATATTTAAATAAAATCAGTGCCAGTGAATATTGTGAATACAATATACATTTGTTTTCACCCAATTTAACCTTTTTAAAATATAAGGAAAAAAGTGATACAGAGGGAAAGCGAGAGAGAGTAAAAGAGAGCACAGAAGACGAAGGTCCTTAAACAAAAACAAACCGCTACCCCCTTGTCTTTGATGATATGTGCAGTTAAATCCCCATACACTAAGTATACTGGAATGTTAATTATCTCCACCTCACTCCCAAACAGACCAAGGTCATTTATTACATCACATAAATAATCACATATTCAACTACAAACGGCAGAGACCCAAACACTAGACTGTTATTAATGTATTTTCCTTTGTTTGTGTTTCAGTATTTTTGGCACATAGGGGATTATCTATGCTTCTGAGACCATTTAGCCTTATATCAAAAATTCCACTTTGATGCATCAACAGTGGCATGCCAGAGATGCCTAAATTCACAGTAAAGTTTAGGGCTATTTGTTGCCAAAAACTGTGAACATGCAAGTTGGTTAAATATTCTCTTTCAGGCTCCTGTATGTATTATTTCAATGGACAATGAGATAGGTTGCCCTTTCTGTCCATCATTAGAGCAGCTGGAGACAGCATTTGCTACCTGGCAAAACTTTCGAAGAAGGATCTTTCTTAGCAGCAGATAAACCCAGGGGTCCAAGATCTGGTTCAGTGAAGCCAGGCGAACAGCTATTAAGAAGAAGTTGCATTCTTTCTGCTTTTCCATCTGACCCTTGCAGTACTCAACTGATGTCTGATTGAAGATCATTTTCAACATCATTATCTAAGAAAGAGGGACAAATAATTATTCCAAAAATTGATAAGGTCCTATGCATCTCATCTACACAGTATTTCATACATACTTGGCTTTCGATAAATTGGCTGTTAGATTAATTCAAGCAACATTTATAATCAGCCCTGTGCTATACAAGACATTCCTGCAGATTTTCCCACATTTTTGGCTATTTGGCATGATGTAGCTAAAAAACCTATGTTCTCAGGCTCTTGCTCTGTGGAATTTAAACAGCTTGAAAATAACACATCTCAAAATTAGCCAAAGCTGCCTGTCTTGTTTCAGAAAAACACCAGTGGGTTGACAGACCCAGTGAGAAATAGCACTTCAAAAAAAAAGTAATTGGCTAAGTTAGCTTGATACTAGAAAATATTTATTCTTTTAATTCCCCTTGTCCTGTGTCTTTTTCTACTGCATTGCCTTCCGATTATGACTGGTCCCAGTGTAGGGAAGTCAACAGGAAGAGAGAACACAGGTGATAGGATTTCTGGTTTTGCCAATTCTGCTCATGTAATCTCAATTTTTATTTTTAAAATACAAATATATAATAGATAAAAAGGCAGGAAAGTAAGTAGACAAATAGACAAGAGAGATAGGAAAAAATTACATGAAAATGCTTATAAGGCGATATGTAGACAATAGCTTCCAGACATCTCCCTTTTGTCTTAGTGAACAGAGTTGGGTCAGGTTATTCTTAAACCAATCACTGGCAAAGGAGACAGGAATTTCCAAGCTTGACTTATTAGACTAGTTCATCTCCTGGGGTTTGACCTTGGTCTTTAGCTAGATTACCAGCTAATGACTGGACAAAACTATGGTTCCATAAATAAAGAAAAAGAAGGCAATGGGTAGGAAACAAGTAGATAGCCATATATTCTGACACTGTAATTTCTTTCATAGGAATTTATTCCAAGGAATTAATTTAAAAAACGTTCTACAAGTAAATCAATGTTCAGAGAGGCATTATCTATGTTAGTAAGAAACTATAAACACATAAATCTCTAACATTGGGAGTGAAGCTTAATAAAATATGATCTATTCACATAACACTATATATGAGTCAAGTTAAAGTATAAAATAGTATTACGTATATAAAGTTATATTGTTATAATTATATTATGTAAAATACATACACTTGTGAAAAACAATGGAATTATTATTATTAAACAATAATCATAAATTTTTTAAGTTTATGTACATAAAAATACATTTCAAGTGATCTAAGAAAGTCTTTTATTTAAAGGTAGTGAATAATTATTCCCTTCATTAATAAATACAAATGACTATACAGCAAGTTAACTTCAAATAAATATACCTACATAAATATATTCTGATTCCAGCTTAGAGGCCTGAGAACTGAGTATTTTCTCCCACTGTGGTAGGTAGAATAATAACTACTCAAAGAGTCCACATCCAAATCCCTGGTACCTATCAATATATTATTTTACATTGCAAAAAGGACTTCGTAGATGTGAATAAATGAAGGACCTTGAGATGGGAAATTATTCTGTCTGGATTGGCCCAATCTACTCACATGAGATTTTACAGTGGATATCCTTTCCTGACTAAGGTCAGAGACAGATGGGACTACAGAAGAATGATGAAAGAGACGCAATGTTGCCAGCTCTGAAGATGAAGGAATGGAGCCGCAACCAAAGAATACAGGTGGTCTCTCGAAGCTGGAAAATGCAAGGAAACGGATTCTCCCCTAGATCTTCCAGACAGGAACGCAGCCCAGTTGACAACATGGTTTTAGCTCAGCTGAGACGCATGTAAGATTTCTAACCTACAGAACTGTAGACTTCATTTACATTGCTTTAAGCCACTAAATTCGTAGTAATTTGTTACAGCAGTCATGGAAAACTAATACACCCACACAGTGAGCTACCAACAAATATTGAGAGTGGATGGGAGGAGGAATGCACCTGAAAACAATTTATTCTTTCTCACAGATAAAACACCTTAGCAAAATTGCTTACATTTGTTCACTTCTTTAGAAAATATTTTTTATAATATAAATAAAGCAAAAGGAAACTTCATCCTAGCTCCTGTCTAAATTATCTCATTTTCTAAACTTAAAACCACATGTAAAAATGAATGCCTGTTATTCTAGTGGCATCAGTTAGATTTCAGTGTGTTTGACTGAAAGGTATGAAATTAATATTTCTAATTAAGTTGCCTTGTAAGGAAAGCATGTCTGTTAATTCTTTTTTCCTCTCTTAATAAATTATTTGAAAAATTATGTCTAGCTTTCTCAGCCACTCACTTCATCCAATAGTTAAATATATTTGACCACCACTTAGCAGGTTCCAGGAAGTGTTCTGGACCTGGTCTATAGCAATCTAAAAACTTACTTAAATCACATTTTTATTTCTTTTTATAAAACTTTTTATGATTAGGAAAATTTACTAAGTAACTTACTAAAATAGGATTGCAATTATTTTACACAGCCTTCCTTAATTATTCTAAAATTAATTATTTTTATGAAACTAAGTTTCATATGCTTACATTGTTTAGTACACTGTAATTTCCCATAATTTACTATTGACAATGCAATGATTATGAAATTATGAAACCAAGTTCTGTAAGCAATAGCTGGCACAAGACGAGATACACTCTAGCTTTTCCAAGAAATCACAAGATGTGCAAGGTAATTGGAATTAGAAACAGCGAGCATGATTTTGCCATTTTCAAATGGCATCAGGATGGAAGTAGAGATCCAAATTCCTAGTCTAATTTTGAACATAAATGCAAGTTAGCATCCGTCTGTTGATTTCCCTGTATTTAAGGAGCTAAACAGTGATTACAATTTTTCTATGTTTTGCCAATAGTTTTCAGATTGCTCAGATATGGAAGAAAGTCTTTGGTATGCATATGTAGATATGTAGACTTCTTATAGAATTGATTATCCCTATTAGTCTAATCCCACTCCTTATATGGGAGACCCTGTGTGGCACAAGCGGTGAGGTGCTCGACTCCTAGCCTAAAAGTTGATGGTTTGAACCCACCTCAGAAGACAGGCCTGGCAATCTGCTTCCTAAAGGTCACAGCCGTGAAAACCCTATGAAGCAGTTACTCTGCACACATGGAGTCATCATGAGTTGGAATTGACTCAACAACTTCTTATACAGAGGAGAACAGACAAATAAAAACAGGATGCCCAGCCAGCACAGGTTTGTCAGGAAGTGAGTCTGTTTTTTAGCAAACACATGTGTACCTGGCACTATTGATTCTTCTGAATTATTCTAAAATTAATTATTTTTATGAGACTAATATAAGCCTCATATAATGATCTGGTCAAGAGAATGGTGAGTCCAATTCTGGCTGAACAGAGCTAGAGCTCTTCTGCCAGCACCTTCCCCAGGCTCCACGTGACCCTCTCAGCCCCTCTTATCTCTCCCCTGGTTGTCAGCAGAAATAAGAGCTCTTTTTGCACCTGCTGATAACCAGGAACACAGCTACATCAGTGACCCCTAAATTCTCCATTCTTGGCTGGTGTCAAGTTCAATTACCTTGTTCTATCCTAAAAGGAAAAAGATGCTTAGTCCCTTACCTAGAGATAAAGTTCTTCAAAATGCACCAAGAACCAGGGAGACTTTTTAATGTTCTCCATTTGGATTTTATTTTATTTTATTGCAGCAGGGTTTATAATTACCCATTTATGAATCTTCAGTATGTCACTTTTTGGTTCAAAAATGCCTTGGGTTATAGGCTACAAGTGTCTACTGAAGACGATAAATGAGTAAATTCAGGGAAATTAATTTGCAGGGGGAGGGGATAAAGTTAGTTAGCTGCCATTAGATTTCATTATGTGGCTTTTATGCATTCCTTGGGTATTCCTATCATAAGTGTTTAAAACGATTTTCCTCATAAGCCAATTTTTATCTGTGATGTTTTGTTTTTCATAACTCTCTGTAGTTAAGCTATGGTAGAATAACCTGTCCTACTGGAAATTCCCCCTATAGAGTGTGGTAAATATATTACATTATAATACACTGAAACCAGTTTGGGCCCCTTAAGCTGCTTGATTACATAATTTAAAGCATAATCATGGGAAGAAGCGTCACTGAAGAGTTCTAAAGCAACTGCAGTCTTTCCAGTATGGTTACAACTCTGTTCTCAGGTTGACAAATCATCTTAGCATCCTAGACTCTACAACTTCAGAAGCTTCAGGATCCCGCCTTATCAAATCTGAAAGGTTTGCAAATAAATAGCCCATAAACATTTTTAAAAAATTACTAGATTGTAACTGTCATGAAACAATTTGTGTATAAAATTTTTGAATGAAAAACTAATTCGCACTGTAAACTTTCACCTAAAACACAATAAAATTTTTAAAAAATTACTACAAGGTGTGTCATTTCACCTTTACTATTCTTAATTTGGGGCCTTGGTGGCACAGTGTTTAAAAGTTTGGCTGCTAACCAAAAGGTCGGCAGTTCAAATCTACCAGCTGCTCCTTGGAAACCCTATGAGGCAGTTCTACTCTATCCTGTAGGGTCACTATGAGTTGGGATCGACTCGACGGCAATAGGTTTGGTTTTGGCTTTATTATTAATTTGAATTTAAAACAACAACAACAACAATGGATTAAGAATAAGAAGAACCAAATTCAACTGCTGGCTCTGCCAGCATTTATGACCTTGGGAAGTCATTCACTCTCTGGACTTTATTGAATTCACAATTAAACTGTGAGGTTGGAGTGAATATCCTCTAAATATAATTGTATAGTTAAGATTTTTCTGATGAATTCTGGGACACAGCTGGAGCATGAATAAGGATTTAATTAGGAAATTAAAAGAATCGTAAAGGAGCCGTGGTGGCACAGTGGTTAAGAGCTTGGCTGCTAACCTAAAGGTAAGCAGTTCAAATCCACCAGCCACTCCCTGGAAACCCTATGGGGCTGCTCTATTCTGCCCCATAGGGTTGCTATGAGTTGGAATCGACTTGACGGCAGTGGGTTTTTTTAAAGGTAAAAAACATGGACCAAA